GGTCACAGGCCGGATCTGGCTTGTAAGCCAGTGGTTGAGCACCCCTACTTTAAAAAAACTGTTTAAGCTATTTACACATTTGAGACATTGAGAATAATACTTAATAAGTGTATTACCTTTACAGCACTAGTATTATTCTGTGACCCCCTGACAATGACAGTAGTACCATACATTCGAGAACGTTGTTTAAAAGAAACTGAAATGTTGTAAGTCTGTGATATATGCTGAATTGTGGGAGAATTAGGATCTGGGATTGGTTGGAGAATTCCAGCTATGGGCAATTCAAACATCAGTACCAATGGAAGGAGCTCCTAGAATGAGATTGAGATTGAGACAAACCATAGCAACTATGCAAAGTATAATCACACATCCTGCTACAATGCAAAACAAATTCAGAATTTTCCTATTACTTGGCTCTGATAACATTTAGATTATCTACAGACACCTTAGAGTTCCTTTACAAAAATTCAAGATATGACTATATTTCAAGACTGGTTCTTCACCCTGATAAAAATAGAAATAGTAATTGCTTCATAGTCATACTTTTTTTTTTTTTTAACACAAATGGCAAAAAGAAAGTTTTTTACAACTAAGAAGTATAAAAATACAAATTATTTTTCTATACTTGCTTATACATATAGGTATCTTTGTAAATATGTACACAGGAGTCTTATTCATAGGGAGCTCACTGGAATTACAGAGACCATGGCTTCTTATAAACCAGTCTGTAAGTCACTATTTCTGCCATAACCACCATAGCTATCAAGCAGTCTTAATATAAATATAGTAATGTTATAAGTGGTAATAAGAAGTTATTTGATCTAAAACGAGTATACATTCCCCATTTAATTCATAGTTATTTGCAATACATACAAAATCAAAATGGAAAACGATAACAGAAGGAAGAATGCAATAGCTAGATCTGGGTCTTTTGGAGCCCAAATTATTTATTCCAGCTGCATTTTAAATCACAATTATTGTCAGTCTTGCCTAAGTCATGAAAATCTCACAACAGTGTTGCATAAGGACTTTGTGCAGGTCTGATCAGGAAGGTGATTTTAGCAGATATTATTTTCTTGTACAGCATAACTTATGCCTCCAAATAAGGCACACACCTTGTTTTTGGAAGGTAGAAAGTGGAAAAGAAGATATTTCCAGTGTCATGGCCAACTGCGTGACAGAGCAAGTCCTGGAAACACAGAGTATCCCAAAAGATGTGGTATCCCAAACAACAGTATGGGTGAGGCAGGAGGAACTTCCTGGTAGGACAGGACAGCAACAAGGCTAGGCCCCAGACCTGCCATTGCAAGGGCAATGCAAAACTGTTACTTCTTTATTAGAGGTGCAGTGTCCATATTGTATTGGTACCAATACAAGGAAAATTGTCATTATTGGAAATGGGTTTTTTTTTTTTGGCTAATGTGGTTGATAATGTTGCTGATAAATGCAGCATGCATCTATGCAGCCACAGCATGCACACAGCCAGGAATGCAGCCCAGCATCTGGGCAGTAAGTGGGGGGGGGAGTGGGGGAGGGGAGAGGCAGATCGAAGCT